CATATGCCTCAGGCCACTTAGTGAAATAGTCCATCACCACACAAATGTACTTGTTTCCAGCACGAGTTTGGGGCAAAGGACCAGCAACATCAATGGCTACTCTTTCCATTGGTGCGCCAACTTGATATAACTTCATTGGAGCATGTCCCTTATGCTTGGGTCCCCTTTTAGCACAACATGTACTGCATGTCCTGCATCATTCTTCCACATCTTGCCTCATACCTATCCAGTACAATCTCTGTCGTAGGTGACTCAATGTATTTTTAACTCCGAGATGTCCTCCTGTTAAACTATCATGGGATTGACGCAGCACAACTTCCCGATTTTCTCGGTATAACCGTTTGCCAGGTCCTCACTTTCCCATCTGCAGCTTCCCATCTCTGGAGAAGAATAACATCTTCAAGCTTCAACTGGTCCCATTGTGCCCAATAGTTCATTGTCACAGGGCTTAGACTAGACACCTTCTCCCAAGCAGGGCGCAAAACACTTGATTTTAGAAAATCAATTATTGGCTTCAAATCTTGGTCTTTCTCCTGCTCTGCTTTAATATCTATACCTGGTTCTATTTCACCATCATCAACTCCTTCAGTCACTTTTAACAGTTACCGGAATGTGGCCTTTGTTGTTCCCATACGTCATTTTATCAAAATTAATGACAAACTTCCTCGGTAGTAAGTAGTCCAACCCTAATATGCATGGGTCTTCAATGTCAGCCAAATATACTTTGCGTCTGTCCTTCATGCATATGAGCTCAATAGTTACCCACACTGGTCCCCACAACCTTGCAGAATGTCCTGTCACACCGCAGAGCTTCTGTATGGCTTCTGGTACTCCTTTGTGATCCAGCATCTTGATACTCACAAGGGTTTGCTGAGATGCAGAATCTATGACAAAGTTGCACCTTTCGCCATCCAGCCTTCCTGTCACATAGACACTATGTGTGCTTGGTATTTTACTCTTAGCTGTTGGGACTTTCACAACTGGGGTTGGTAGGCGTCCATGAACACGAACCACTAGTGGTTTCTTTAAGGCTGACTTATTGGTAATATTCTTCTTACACTGGCTCCTCATGTGTCCTTGCTCTCCACAGTTCCAACAACCTTTCTTGCCATAGCATCTTCCCTGTGTTGAAGTTGCCGGCATTGAGCTTTCTTGTACCCAGGTTTGTTACAGTGCCAGCAAAGTCCCTCAAACCCCTCTGAAAGCTGCCCTTGAATCCTGATGACTGTACC